CAGGCGGCCAAGAGCCTGCGGATCCAGGAGCAGGTGCAGCAGACCCTGGCCCGGAAGGGCCGCAGTTTCGTGGGCAACGGTGAGTGGAACCCCGCCGCCCCCTGCGCCGCCCTCACCCTTCCCCTTCCCCCTTCCCTAACCCCCCTCCACCCTCAGCGCCCAGCTGCGTCCACCCGCTTCTTCCTGAGAGCGCGGGAGCTGGGGTTCTGCCCACCTGTTGCTCGCCGTCCCTTTGTACGACCTGTCGCGCCTGCAGACTCAGACCAGGTTACTTGGGGAAAGCACTCTTTTAAAAAATAACCTCTTACTCATCTTTGTCATATAGGTATCTACGTATATTAAATACACATACATATCCATGGAAAGAATTCAGTCCAAGGTTTTCACCCCTTCTTTAACCAGCTCCCCTCCCCCCTCCCCCACCACCCCACCCCGGCCTCCATCCTAGGGGACTTAATCTGGAGGCTCTGGAGAAGTCTGTAACCGCTTTGAAATTTTTTGCAGAAATTTGGTATGATCATTTTTTCTGAGAGAAAGCGCCCCTAGCTTTTATTAGATTTTTAAAAAAGCAATGACCCCCCCGCCCCAATAAATATTTTTAATAAGAAAACCTGAGAGTACTGGCGCTCGTACAATTTGTAAATTGGGATTGCGGTGCCTCGCCCAGGTACTTCGGGGCACTCCACTCAGTGTACGGAGTGAATGGTTGATCTAGGAAGTGAAAAAGGTGGGTAGGAAGCTTTGGGCTGGGAAACAATCACACCACCCCGCGGTTGGCCAAGAGGAGAAGGAAGGGGACTTTGGCCCCGGTGAATGGGAGTTTAAAAAAGAAAAACAACACTATATTTGTAATTGATAATCAGTGAAGGTGGAAGGGGAAGAAGATGGCAAACCAGCTGTAAAAATTTAAGAGAACATAATATGTCATTTCTCCCCTCCTGAAGGTCAGATGATCAGAGCCACACAGTAATTCTTTTATTAGTTGTTTAATTTATTTTTATATTATACAAGTATTATAGGCTTATTATGGAAAAGAGAAGAAAGAGAAGAGGAAAGAAATTGAACAATTAAGTTGGGATATCAGTTGCTTTCTGCCATGCTGAACTGTTTCTCTAGGAACTTAACTTGGGCAATGTTAAATGTAGAACCTATTAGGAAAAACATAAATGCTTGCAGACCAGATCAGAGATTTAAAACAGCAGACCCTGGGAGGCTGTATTGTGTTCTATTTGTGTAAAAGAATCTTCAAGGGTCAGTCAATATTTACATACTTAAGAAGTAAAGAGAAGATGTTTGACGATTATAGTTGATGTAATTGTGTGCCTACTATGTTCCGGGAATTGGACTAGGTAGTATGCATTCATTACATTATTTATATTTCCAGCGGGGAAAAAAGCTTGTGAGGTAGGATGCTTTAATCCCCGTGTTACAGATGAGGAAACTGAGATAGCTCCGTGAGAGTGGGATGGTCTGGATGACACAAAACTGCCACAGCACATGGAGAAAAAAAGCCTAAATGTACATTTAGGAGTCTGACTAAGGACCCCAGTGCAGGTGTGGCCAGTTTTTGACCAGTGGGGTGGTCGTACCCCTTGAGTCTGCAGGTCGAGCGCTAAACTGGAGCCAAACAAGCTACTTCTGCTTGGGGGACATGAAGGATGCACGTTAAATACTCTGTCTTGCTCTCTGAGAATGGCTGGCCAGGAAGAGCAACCGGACATACACTATTCAATAAATGTGCGGAATGAACAGAAAGGAGCATTTGCTGAGTATCTACTGTGTGCCTAACCCTGTTCAAGAATACGTTTGCATTTTATTGTTTCCTTATAACAATTTTATGAGATAGATAGGATCCATTTCACATAAGAAGAATGAGTCAGCCTGTCAACATTTATTGCACACTCAGTCCCAATCCCACACATGGTCTGTCCTCTCTACAATGTTCATGTTGCTTGGTGAGTTCAAGAACTACCAAGTGAGCCTTTACTTCATGCACCACACATGAAGTTGCACAGGTATGTAGAATTGAACAGACACTCTGCTTGCTTTAAAGCAAGGAGTTTAAAGTCTGCAGAAGGAAACTGCCCTCTAAAAAACTGTGTTATCAAATGTAAACAGTGGTACGCTACCCGGAAGAACAGCCAACAAGTTACAGAGTTTAGAAGTGTGATTACTTGGAAAGCTTCTCAGAGGAACTGGGATTTTAGGTCTCAAAAATTCAGTGGGATCGGGCATAGGGGAAGGGTTGGAGGAAGCGCATTCTAGGGGGAACAGCAGGGATATTTCACAGTTCACAGAATTGACAGTGTTCGACCAAGGGCACTGGCATGATACTTCTGCTCAAACGCTCAGGGCAGCTGCTTGAGTGGCTAACCAAGGAACAAAGTGAAGTATTTTTATGACAACAGGAGCTTCCCAACAAGCTGAAATACACTCAGCAGCCTACACAGAGCAAGTCAGGCAAAGAGATGAGGCAACAAACACCTACTTAACTCTAAAGCCTCAGCTCTCTGAAACTCAGAGGAAATCTGCTTCAAAGGAATTTAACAGTAACACACCATGGACCAATTACCAGGGTGGTTTGTGTATGTTGTTTAATTAAAGTTCTTTGAAAAGGTTGGGGGGTGCTCCTTATGGTTGTGAGTATTGTTTTTTTATTATTTCCGTGTTACTATCCTGTCTCTAAAGTTGAAACAGACAGGCAGTTGTTGAAACAGGGCTAGTCTGGAAAGAATCCTGTATCAACACGAGAAATTCCGGGAAGAAAGGACCCTGGTGTTAACTGCTGTTAGCTCCAGGGCCCTGGAGAATTCTGAATTGTTGACATACCTGTAAGATCGAGGCAGCAGATAATCCGTTGAAAACAAGAGAATGGGATAAATGTGACTGATTTGTTGATAAATATCCTGCAAGGGTCTTTAACCCACCAGCTTCTCTCTAATGCCTTTATATATAAGTGAGTGGTTTTCGTTGTAAATCACTCTAACTTTTGTTGTGATTTTAAATTGTGCTGAACATTTTAAAGTTGGCTGTATCTCTTGTGGTGAGTGGTGGGGGAGGGGACAGAGGTGTATAGCAGCATTGTGAAGTGAGTCTGTATTGTAGGAGATTTTAAAAATTCTTTTATAAAAGTCATCTAGAAGACATTTAAGAATTGCAAGTATTAGCAAAGGGAAATTTTTACTTACTTTGAAAGTAAACTTTACTTACAACACTACTTGGGTACTTGGGTAGGAAGAAAGATATGTTTTAAATTGTTGTATATAATCCTTATAAAACACAATGAATAATATATCCTAATGAAATTTACAGCTTCTTTGGAAATCCACCATAAAACCTTGAGGCATGCTGTTTACTTAAATGGTTTTCCTGGCCAAGATGTTTTGAATATCAATGATCAGGAAGAATTCTGGGAAAAAGACAGAAAATTGGCTCAGGTAGCAAAAAAGGCAATTAATAGGTTTGGGGTGGGGGGTGGTTAGACATTGTTTAAAGCCTGTATGAATTATTTGTTGCCAGAAAGGAATTCCAGGAATGAAGCAATTCTGGGATCTAGGGGACTAGTCATTAGAAAGTAGGAGAAATCAGGAAAGAAGGAAAAAAATATTTGGGTGGCAGGGATATACATACATGGCCGTGCTGCTGGGAATGTTACAGTGTCAGTAGTGCCACCTGATTTAACATACCTCCATGTCTGCTTAGTATAGCCCAGTGTCTAGCAGATCGACTGCAATGAGCTTAAAAAAAAAGAGTGTGTGTGTTTTTAAGGAATTCTTCCAATTATAATTAGTCAAAGGAAATCGAATGACAACAACATGGTGATTACAAAAAAATTAACTCCCCACCCCTAGAAATGTGCAAAACACATCTTTTATGGAGAAGGTCTGGAGTGTGGGCATGGGTAGGGGTGCTTCAGAATCAATGAGACTGTAGCAGTGTTTGATTATAAAAGTACACTGCTCTATGTGCCCCAGGAGATGCAGGCAATCACCTTGAGGGTACTGTTCACTTAGGCTTTTTTAAAAATTAAATTTAATGTTTTTAAATTGAGGTATAGTCAGTTTATAATGTTATGTCAATTTCTGGTGTAGAGCACAATTTTTCAGTCATACATGAATATACAAATATTCATTTTCATATTCTTTTTCACTGTGAGCTACTATAAGATCTTGAATATCTTTCCCTGTGCTATACAGTATAAACCTGTTTATCTATACTATATATACCTGTCAGTATCTACAAATCTCAAACTCCCAGTCTGTCCCTTCCCACCCACTTCCCCCCGGCACCACAAGTTTGTATTCTAAGTCTATGAACCTATTTCTGTTTTGTATTATTTAAGTTCATTTGTCTTCTTTTTTAGATTCTACATATGAATGATATCATATGGTATTTTTCTTTCTCTTTCTGGCTTATTTCACTTAGAATGACATTCTCCAGGGCCATCCATGTTGCTGCAAATGTCATTATTTTATCATTTTTATGGCTGAATAGTATTCCATCATATAAATATACTACAGCTTCTTTATGTAGTCATCTGTTGATGGACATTTAGGTTGTTTCCCAATTAGGCTTTTTAAAAGACTGCTTTAATGTTATCTATGCCCTGTATTAGTGGTTCCAATCATGGGAACAGAGGGTAGCTCACTTGAATTATTCTAAGTGTTTGTTCACATTGGGTCATTCTCCTAAAGTATTGTTTTGGATATCGGCTTTACGTGTTTTCCCCATGTATTAAAATAAGGCTATTTTATCTTTATTTTATCTTCAAATAGTTAATAGTACTTTTACACTCAAATTGAATTTCTGGTCTGATCCATAGACATTATTAAAAGCTTTATTTTTTTCTTTTCTGAGGCAACAAGCATGTTTTCTCCTATCTATGATAATAATGAAATGCAATAACAAATTTCTTCCTAAAAGCTCTAGAACTTAAAATCAGACTTGATTAATATAGCCTTTAATAAGATCATTTTGCTCTATCTCAGATGATAGTCAAGAATTTTAAATTATACAGTTCTGAGATAAATCCTGGGCTCCAGCTGTTTTGTTCATGTATACAAATGTATGAAGACTTAA